GGAGCTCAGGGAGACTGCGACTGCAGTCCAAGATAAAGCAAGCGCGCCAGCAGAAAGGGCTGGCCACCTCTTCTAGAGAAGAAATCGCGCTTTCGTTTTAAAGCAGATGAGAAAGGACGGTCCGGGTAATCTTTACACCCAGGAGTTTGATTAGTGCGTGCGCCTTTAAGAAGCGGGCTGGAAAACCGAGGGGCGTGGCCATAAGAGCGTGCTCACCCGGGAGCCCGGTGATTGGGCGGAAGGATCGGCCACTTCCGGTTACGTAGGCCCGGCAAGATGGCGGCGCCCAGGGCGGTAGGTGACCGGGGCTCCTAAATGCCCTCAAGTTGATGTCCTCTGTACAGCCTTTGCCTACAAGATCTCTGTCGGCGTTCAGGGGAGCTACGAGTCGTGGGGAGCAGGGACGTCCCCGCTGGGCCCAGCTGTGGGAATATGTGGCTGCCAGGGCCCGGAGGGATCCCTGAAGGGGCGCTGGCGGCGGCGCACCTGCGCGAGTAATAGTGGGAAAGGATTCGGCCGAGCGAAGCCAATGGGAACGAGGAACATGGGCCCGAGAGGCGCGTCCAGCCAATCAGAGGGAGGGATACGAGTGCGCAGACCGTGAGATTAAATCCCAGGATGGAGATAAAAGAATGAATTTGAGGGAAATTCATGGGAGATTTGGGAATTTTGATGGAAAACTAGAAATGGGGTGGGGGCAGTTGGGAGGAACTTGGGAGGTGAATTTGGGTGCTCCAAGAGGAAAATTAAAAGATCAGGATTGACTGATTTTTCAGACAGGGTCTCATGTAGTTCAGGCTACTTTTGAACTCACTGTGTAGCCCAGGCTGGCCTTGAACTCACGGTACTCCTTCTGCCTTAGCATCCCGCGTGCTGGGATAAATAAAGTTCAAGGCCAACCGTAACTACATATCGAGGACCTAGACTCGAACACAGAGAGATCAGAAGCTTATCGCCCACAAGAGATAGTGGGCGAGTTCCAAGAAAGATTTGCGACATCAGGGTGAAAGATTACGGTTTTTTTCATAATGTTTTGAAGACATGGGAAAAGGAAGCAAGTGGAATTCTTATTTCCCGCAATTCTTATTCCTTGTTAATATTCCGGGAACACCTGCGTTGTAACTAAAATTGTACATCCAAGTGGCAAATTGAGCCAGGTATGGTGGCACATGCTTGTGATCCCAGTAATGGAGAGGCTGAGGCAGGAGAATCACTGCAAGTTCGAGGCCAGCCTAGGCTAGTTGTGAATTCAAGGCGAGCCTAAAACCACACGGTGAGATTCTGTTGCAAAAAAGAAAATAAAAAAGGTGCAAATCAACAAGATTGTATATTGTGGCCTTACAGAAATGCCTGTAGTTAGATAAAAATGCCTACATTTTTTTTTTTTTTGAGATAGATCAGGGCACATTTGGAAGGATGAATAGGCCTTTGTATTTTATCTAGTGTTGTTTCTGAGCAGTTTAGCGCAATGCCTTATGTCGGCAGAGAAATTCTGTTGCCAGGAGGTTTAATACTTTTCTCACCAGAAAGAAGATTTGGGTAAAATCAAGGAATAAATTTAGGGAAAATTTAAAGAAATTGAGTTTAAGAATTTTGAGGTGGTGACAACCTGTAATCCCAGCACTTGGGTGGCTGAGACAGGCCAAGGCAAACCTGAACTACATGGGAGACCTTGTCTCAAACAAATAAAAAAGCAGGATCTAGAGGAAGCAAGAGTGAATTTTGTTAAAGAGTTGGGGCAAATTAAGAGGAGGCTTGCAAGAGAGGAAAGAATTTGGGAGCTTCTCCTGGAAGCCACCCTGCTCCATTTCCAGTCCTCCCCTAAAGATTTTCTCCTTGGGTTTGTTGTTCTTTCAAAGAGTGCTGTTCATGGTATTTATTATTTATATTAAATTAAAGGAAGGGGCTGCTGGGAGCATCGCTCAGTGGTAGAGCATGTGCCTATTATACAAGGCCCTGGGTTTTGGTGGTGGTGGTGGTATTGGGAATAGAACTTACCACCTCATGCTTGCCAGGCAGGCACTGTGCCACTGAACTAAATCCCCAGCCTGGCCCTGGGTTTGATCATGAGCACCAACTGTGAAAAACTCAATAATGGTGGTACATACACTCCAGCACTCTGGAGCCTGAGGCAGGAGGTTTGTTGCGAGTTCAAGACCAGCCTGAGCTGCATAGTGAGACTCTGTCTCAAAAAGGCCAATACAGGCTGGGTCCGTGCCAGCTACTGAGACCCAGCATGGGGTGCATGCCTGAATTCCCAGTGCTGAGGAGGCTGAGACCAGAGGATCACTATGAGTCTGAGCTGTATAGCAAGACCCTGTACCAAATAAATAAGTACAAAAATTAATTAATTAATTTTTTAAAAATGTTTTTAAAAGGCCAAAACAAAACTTCAGTAATCAAGATTATATTTGGGAAAAAAGAAATGGCTCATTCAGAAAGACCTCAGCAAAAACTGAATAAAACTAAGGGCCCAGTTTGTGGGAAATTAAATAAGAGAAGTTTGGGAGAAAAATCAGGACTTGGAAAAATTAGAGGAAGAATTCGTGAAAACCAAGAATGTTTGGCTAAATCAAGGAGGGGAATTTAGCACTAAGAAGAACCCTGATAACCTCTGGACAAAACATGGGGACTTTTGGAATCCCAAAGACAGAATCTGGCAGTGGTGTTTTAGTGCTCTGGGTCCTGTGCATACTGGGCAGGTGCTCCACCTCTCAGCTACTCACTGTCCAGCCCAGAGTTTGGAGTTTTAATTTTGTTTTTTGAAACAGGGTCTCATTTTGTAGTTCAGGCTTGCCTTGAACTCGCTACATAGTCTAGGCTGGCCTCAAACTTCCAGTAATCCTGCCCCGGCCTCCCAAGTGCTGGGATCACAAGTGTGCACCAACATGCCTAGCTAGTGATTCTGAAGGAAGAGTTTTGCAGGAAGCAGGGAGTTAAGGTCCGTGGAGCAGGAACTGAGGGGATCTGGCTCCAGACTCAGTCCTTACTCTCCTCCTCCTCCCCAGTTTCTGCACCTGATACCCCTAAAATGGAATTGGGGTGAGAGAGGCTTCCGTGATCTGAGTGGAGTGACAACCCCAGAGGCCAGTCACAGGGGGAGAAGGACACTGCTGCAGTTCCTGTCTGACCATTTCTACGATGTGGAGTTCCTGAGGGAGTACTTCCTTCGGAAGCAGATGCAGAAACTGCACCTGGAAAACGGGTGAGAACTTGAGGCCCGCCAGACCCTGTGGAGACCCTGCTGCTCACCCCAGGCCAGCCAGAGTCCCGCTCTCTCTTTGCCACTCTTGGGCAGCACTGCTTTTATGGCCAGGCTTGCTAAGCCTTTCATCTTGTTCTCTGGCCCCAAAATGCTCTGGCTCATATAGTGGTCTGTTGTTGCCACCCTCAACTGGGGGCCTTGTTTGCATCTTAGATCTCATATGGCTGAAACCAGACCTGCATTTCTCCCTGAAAAGTCTGCTCACCCCGAGCTTCCCCCATCCCAAGAACAGGGGTCATTGTCCACCCAGTTCTGGTGTCCTTCCTGCTGGGTATGGTAGCGTATGCCTATAATCCCAGTGTTCAGGAGGCTGAGGCAGGAGGATCACTGGGAATTTGAGACCAGCCTGGCCTATATAGTGAGCTTAAGGCCACCCTGAACTCTGTCCCAAAAATATATAAAGAAATACTGTCAGTAAAGGAATCCTCTGATTACTCTCGGAGTTTCTCAGCTAACATCCTGTCCATCAGTTCTAGAATATTCCACATGTGACCACTGTCACATTTACTAACCTTGGGCCTTCATCTCAAGGTTGTATTGCTGTCGTAATCTCTTGATCTTGTACTTCCTGTTCTCTACTGCAGTCAACAAAGCAGCTGATGGATTCTTAAGAAAGAAAAATAAAAGGGGCCAGGATCTAACTCAGTGGTGGAGCACTTGCTTAGCATGATTGAGATCCTGAGGTTGAACCTGATACCCCCAAAAGAAAGAAAAGAAAATTTTAGCCAGGCACGGTGGCACCTATAACCTCAGCTTTCTGGGAGATTGAAAGATTGACAGTTTGAGCCCAGCCTGGGCAACTCAGCAAGTTAGTGAAATCTTGAGTCTAAATAATTACAGGGGGGCTGGTGAGATGGCTCAGTGGTCTAAAGCACCTACTTGGAACAAACTTCACAAAGCACAGGGACCACGGTTCGATCCCCCAGCACCACATGCCAGCCAGCCCTGCCCCCTGGTGGGCTGAGCTGGCCACACACACACACACACACACACACACACACACACATAAAAATAAATGTTTTTTTAAAAATAAATAAATAATTACAGGGTGGGGGCCGGGGAGATAGCTCAGTGGAATAAGTACTTCCCTGGCAAGCGCAAAGGCCTGAGTTCAATCCCTGGTTCCACCAAAAATAAATAAATACAGGGTGAAGATGCACCCAGCCAGCCCTGTGGTATGACCAACAAAAATAAAACAGTAAGCATTACAACTCTGCTTTAAACTTCCGATTGCAACTAGAATGAGAAGTGCTCTCCAAGGCCTGAACCCTGGCCCCCCACTGAGCCCTGAGACCCCACAAGGGCCGCCTCTCCCCTCTGCTGACACAGCGCTCCAGCGCCCTACTGATGTGGCCTTCCTAATGCCAGTCTCTGAACCTGTGACCTGGCAGCTCCTTGCCTTGACCTCATTCCTTCTCGCCATTCAAGTCTAAATCTCACCATTTCAGAAGCATATTTAAATGCGAAAGTAGATTAGCCTCTGCCATCCCTGCTGTCCTACAGAACTGGTAGATCACAGCCACAGCTGTTTCCTGGTTTGTTATCTGCCTCCCAGTCAGGGGCTCAACAGGGCTGGGGGCAGTGATGGATGCTTATCCGCTTAGCGGTCTGAGCTACCACTGTGTGTACAGTGCTCAGCAAATGCCTGTTCACAGTGCTGAGCCAGCCACTGAAACTAACAGAGATGTGCTGCTGGGCCCGCCTGCACGTCTGCCTGGTGCCCTGAACTCTGCCCCTCAGCAGCCCTGGGGAGGGGTGTGGCGCCCCACGGCCTCATCTTTAGTATCTTTTTCTCGGCAGATCCTACATTCGCGTCCAGAACAAATATGGCCCAGATATTGCAGGAGCCTACTTCATCCTGAAGCATGGAGGAGCCGTCAAGTATGACAGCAGAGGTTTCTGCTAAGGGGGTGGGGGCAAGGGTGTTGTAGACCAGCCTCTGCATTCCCATGCACTTCCCTATGATCCCCCATCTCTGCCTCTGAATGGCTATGGAGCAAGAGACTTATTCCTGGGCTTTCTGTTCTGTCATCCATAAAATGCAATGGTAAATTATAGCTAGCTACAAAATTTGCTGTAACAATGGATTTGCAACCTGAACACAGGCCTAGAATAGCATATGTGATCAGTAAAAGTAGCCAGGAGTATTACACGGGCCTAGAATAGCATATGTGATCAGTAAAAGTAGCCAGGAGTATTACACGGGCCTAGAATAGCATATGTGATCAGTAAAAGTAGCCAGGAGTATTGGTGGGTACGTGCGCTCCCAGCTACTTGGGAGGCTGAGGAAGGGGGATTGCTTGAGCTCAGGAATTCAAGGCCAATGTGAGCAATACAGTGGGATCCTGTTTCAGAAAACAAGTGTTTTTCCTTTTATTGCCCCCTTTTTCCTTCTTGCCTTTCTTTCTTGCTTTCTCCCTTTTATTTGTCCCTTCTATTCAGAAAGATAGAACCCCCATAGGTTTCATCTGCCCCTCCTGTTTGTCAATTAAAATTTCCATTTGGTTCGAGCACCCACAAGCAGCCTCCTCAGAACAGGACAGTAGCACCCTCAGCCAGCTGATGTATGGAAGCGCACCAGCCTGTGCAGTCCTGCGGTGGGTCAGGCACCTGCTGACACTCCCTTCTGGCCGCCTCCAGGTTCCGAGACATGGAATGGGTCAGGTCAGATGAGTGGAGGCATTTCATCGCCGGGGTCTCCAAGTTCCAGGCAGTGCCCGTGGAGGCTGTGGATGCCAGTGGCTGTGCCATCAATTACGATGGCCTAGGCAACCTCTGTAAGAGGGCTTAGGGGTGGGGGCAGGGAAGCCTCAGACTTCCCATTTGGTGGTGGCTCCGGAAAGAACCCATGGCATAACCTTGTCTTCCTGTAGTGTCCCTGAAGGAGCTCCGGTCCCTGTCACTGCAGCGTTGTCCCCATGTGGATGACTGGTGCCTCAGCCGCCTCTACCCCCTGGCCAGTTCTCTGCAGGAGCTGTCTCTGGCTGGCTGTCCCCGGATCTCCGAAAGGGGCCTTGCCTGCCTCCACCACCTCCAGTGAGACCACAGCACAGGCTGGGCCCAGGGCCCCTTCCACCCAGCGTGGGGGGCCACCAGGCGGGTGGGGGTGCTGTTGGGCAACTGCCGTTTCCTTCCTCCTTCCCAGCCCTAGAGAAGGCAGAGAGTGCATAGAGGAGCAGACAAAGCCTGTGAGAATTAAAAGACTCCTGGTTTTTCTTTCTCTTTTAATGAAGCCTCCACAGCATACACTGTTGTCGAACAGTGGAAGCTGGAAGCACATATTTGTAGCTAATGAAGTGGATTTCATCTTAGCTATAGATTTGATTTTGGAGCTAGGGATGTAGCTCAGTGATAGAACACTTGCCTAGCATGCACAAAACTGTGGCTTCCATCCCCAGCAATGACCCCCCAAAAAAAACTTAGGAAACTAGGGGCCTTAGTTAGGGCCGGACTCTCTACACACACCTGCATGCACACGCATGCACAAGGCCATGTCCTCAGCCTCCTGCCCTTTCCCCTTTCAGAAACCTCCACAGACTGGACATCTCAGACCTCCCTGCCGTGAACTTCCCGGGCCTCACTCAGATCCTGGTGGAGGAGATGCTGCCCAACTGTGAGGTCGTGGGGATGGACTGGGCCCAGGGCCTGAGGCAGGGGCCAGATGAGCAGCCTCAGGATGCAGCAGGCCCCATCCCTGTCGAGCCCCTGGCCCCTGGGTCCAGGCAACCCCTGTGCAATTCCTGATGGCTTCCTACTCTGTGCCTTCCAAGTTGGCATTCATTCAGCACTGGTCATGGGCGCTGGCACACCAGAGGGAAAGACAGTGTGAAGCTAGAGTATCTGTTGCTGGTTGCCTGTGGGCAGCAGCCTCCTCGCCTGTCATCTGGTCTGGCTGTCCTCTCCACACAGCCCCCTCCTGCCTCACCAGCTGTTAGGACATGGGCTGCGCTTGTCTCCATACTTTCCCACATGCAACCCACCATTGTGTTTGAGGGTGGCCATGTAAGGTCAGAAGGACCTGACAGACCCGAGATGCTGCTGGCACCTGGCAGCAAGGGCCTCTCCCTGTGCAGGAGTGGCCAGCTCAGGTCCACCTGTTTATCATCCTCAGCCCTTGGTCTCTAAATGCCAGTAGCCCCCCAGTTCCTGTGGTGTGGCTGGTTATTAATTTATTAGCTTTAAGTTTCACATTCAGCTTTTTTCTGCTGCTGTGTGAAAATTGAGCTGGGGCTTTGGACTTACTTCCTTTGCCAACTGGTACAATAGGCTTCGCCAACAGAAGATGCTGGAGACTATTCCAGGAGGAAACGTGTAGTGCTGTGTGCCCCATGCAACTGAGCTCCAGGTTTGGGCCACAGGGTAAGTGGCTCCCCACAGCCCTGCAGTTTCTTCAAGGTGCAGCCCTCCCGGAGGCTCCTCAGCCACCCAGCTGGATTTCCAGTCATTTCAGAGGCATTTACCAATGAACTCTTGTGATTCTACTTCACTGTGGAATAATCCTTTATATTAAAATTTTCATTAAACTACTGTGTAGTTTTTCTCTCCTTACTGGTTCCAGACTTACCCAGAATCTGTTCCTGGAATGTGCCAGGACACGGTCTCCTGAGGTGGAATTTGGGAGTGGTTTGGTTGCTCGAGTGCAGTCCAGGGCAGTGGGGAGCCAACAGTCCCCGCTATGCAGGCACAGCACAGCACAGCCGAGGTACATGGCTCGGCCCCTGTGAGCCCTGTGCCCGACAGCTGTGGCAAGACAGACAATTCTAAAGACCAAGGTAGTGGGTGGATTCTTGGGGTGCTCCTAAGTGCCTACAATGACAAGCGAGCATCTCTTCAGCTGCCATCTGAAAACAGCCCAGAAGTTCTTTGGAATGGGTCATCCGGCTGGGTAAAGAAGACCTCAAACCTCAAAAGTCACACTGAGCACCCCTTCCCAAGGCCATGGTACCTTGTACGGATGACCTCGCCTTTAAAGAGGAAACGCTCTTCAGACTCGAGCACCCCATGCTGCCACCAGGCCCATAAATACCTGGGAACTGAGGCCAGTAGATTTCAGAGGGGTGCAACTTACTCAAAAAACAAGACTGTAAACCAAAGTGTAGACAGAGCCCTGGGAAATGTGTGCAGGAGTGGATCCTAGAGGTGTTGAGACTAACGAGTAAATGTAACACTAGCTTGGGCCAAATTCACCAGATGGGGGTGCTTACTAGAGATGCCAGATTTATTTTTCGTGTATTTGGTACAGGGTCTTGATACGCAGCTTGGACTCGTAGTAGATCTGTGTTCAGCCTCTCCAGCGCCGGGATTACAGCCATGGATCTGTGCATCACCGTGCTCAGGCTCTTGCTGGCTCAGAGCGCCCCAGGGGTGGGGCCCGCACAGCATTCAGGACCAGGGATCGAAACCCTGGTCCCTGCACTTGCCAAAGCAGGGACTTAGTCTGCTGAGCTATCTTGCTGGCCCCTACATATTCCAGATTTAATAATTTACCTGTGCATCTGCGAGTGGTTTTAATAGTTATTTGGTTGGCTGATCAGAACTTGGAGTCAATAGTATTCTACAGTTGAGAAGCCAAGAGACCAGAAGTGCCCAGGCATAACCAGGCATAACATGGGTGCAGGAATCCAGGACCTTAATTACAGAGACTGAGCACAGCTCACCCACCTACCCCCTATGTGTGATCCCCTTCCCTCCCCGCCAACAAATTTTAGTATGTTTCCCTCATTATACAGTCTCATAGTATAATCACTATTGTGTGGCAGTGGTGATAGTACAAGGGGTTGGATGCAGCGGCACTCTCCACTGAGCTATATCCCTCAATATGCAGCTTGGACTCGTAGTAAATGTTTTCAGCCTCTCCACCACCATGCTCCGGCTCTTTCACTGGCTCAGAGCACCCCAGGGGTGGGGCCCGCACAGCATTCAGGACCAGGGATCAAACCCTGGTCCCTACACTTGCCAAAGCAGGGACTTAGTCCGCTGAGCTATCTTGCTCCAACTCTCCCCAACCCTGTCTTTTTTTTTTTTTTAAGACTCAATCTCCCTAACTTGCCCAGGCTATCTTGAATTTGTGATTCTCCTGCTTCACTTCCCTAGTGCTAGGATTACAGGCATGAACCACATCACTGTTTGTGTGGACTGTTCCCTGTTCCAGGTACTGTGTTGTCTCTCTGCTGACTGGATCCAGACTGATACAGAACAGTCCTGCGACAGCCTCCCCGAGGCCCCAGAGGGGGCAGTGCCACCTTAGTCCAGGGCCTCTGCAGCCGCGGAGGAAACGAGATGAGCCAGGAGAGCTCATCCTGACCCTTTTTCTAACCTGGGGTGAGGTATGCTGCCTTGCCCAGTCCCTGGCTGTCTTCCCCACTCTAGCTTTTATTCCATTAGTATTCACCAACCGCTCCTTCCTCACTGCTTCTTCCATCTGTTTCCCTTGGGTTCCATTATTTAAACTTGAAAGGTAGAAATCAGCGCTGGACAGATAATAAGCTACAGTCGACAGGCGGGCTGGGTTCCTGATATAGTCCCTTTCCAAGCCAGGTGGGATGAAGGGGTCAGTTCTGGCTCAGTGGGCGGCCCAAGTCACACCCCAGATCCCAAGAGGTCTGGGACCAGGAGGCCCCAACCCGCCAGTCTCCCCAGATAGCTGGTGCAGCCCCAACAGGGGCAGCCCCAGGAGGGCAGGGATGTAAACACAGGCAGGCTCCCTCTCCAGTCCCAGGAGGCTGGAGCAAGCTGCTGGAGCCAGACAAGGGCAGGGGAGGGAGTGGGGACCAAGAACTTCAGTGCGGCCCCCACACGTCTATCACCCCCTTCTCGGCTCCCCTGAACCTACCTAACGCTGGGGCCCTTTCCCCTGGCTCTCCCAGGTCCTCTCCCTGGGTCAGGTCGGGGTTCTGCCTCCCTCCACCTGCCTTTCAATTCTGCCCCTGAGCCAGAGGACTTCCTGGTCATGACTCCTCTCCCGCCCCTCCACTGGCAGCCAGGTCTTCTCTCAGGTCTCCTCTCCCTGCTGTCTCTCCCTCTCCTCTAAAGTCCCAGCCTATCACCCCCTGTGCTGACTCTGGGCAACAACCGCGGGTAAACATCCCTATCTCTGGCAGCCGATCCATCCCCACTCAGCACATTCACGCCTGCTCCTGGCTTTGGCCCCGCGCCAAACCCTCAGCCTCCGGCCCCGTCCTTCCTTCTTGGGGCTCGGCCTTTCTCTGGTCACTCTGACACCAGGCAGCATGGCTCAGGCCCGGCTTTGGCCTCATCCTCCCTCTGGCTCTTGTCCGGGTCCCAGGACCGCCCCTGCAGGGCCCTCGCGGTCCCCGTCTGTGCGGTAGCCACTCCGCACCTCTCCTGCCGCACCTCTCCTGCCGTCTCTGGAGAAAACCAGTCCTAACACGCTGCGCCCGCCCCCTCCCAGGTCTGCCTCCCGCTCCCTCCCGCCGCGGCCCCGCCCCGGCCCCTGGGGCCCTCCCGCCCGCGCTGCGCCCGCCCCTCTGGACTGGCAGCACCGGGCTGGGCTGGCAGCCTGCGACGGGAGGGAGCCGAAGCAGGGCCTGACCAGAGGCCCGGCGGCGCCGAAGCTGGGATTTGGCAGGAGCCGGACCCAGAGGTACAGCGGAGCCGAGCGTCCAGGCCCTGGGGTGGGGCTGAGTTTCTATGAAGTGAAAGGAGCTCACCTAGGGAGCAGGGGATCAGTGATCCCGACTCCTGGGGACCGGGATTTGAATGGGGAGAGGAGCTGGTAAGAAAGGCGGTGGGGTGGAGCGGAACAGGCGGAACTTCTGGGCTTCTGGAAAGGTGGATAAATAATGGGGGCTCCTTAAGTCTAGGAAAAGATGACAGCTGGGTCCCTGGGGAGGGGGCTGCTTAGGGCCAGGAACTGAGAGCAGCCATTGCTGGGGGTAGCCGAGGCTGCAGGAGGCTGCATGCTGGGGTCCGGCGGGGCCTCCTGTGGCCCAACCGTGCCCGCATCCCAGAGCCCTCCAAAGCCCTCCGTGGCTCCCTTGCAGCTCCCACAGCCGCCCCCTCCCTGGGCCAGGTCATGCGCTGCTCCAAGTGCCTGCTCTGCCTGTCAGCGCTGCTCACACTCCTGGGCCTCAAAGTGTACATCGAGTGGACAGAGTCCCGGGTTAAGGCATACCCAGAGCCCCGGGGTACTCTGCTGGACCCCACGGCCGCCAGCTCGGAGCCCACCCTGCCGGCCAACCTCTCAGCCCGCCTAGGCCAGACTGGCCTACTACCTTCAGCTTACTGGAACCAGCAGCAGTGGCGGCTGGGGACCCTGCCCAGTGAGGACAGCACTGAGACAGGGGGCTGCCAGGCTTGGGGTACTGCTGCCGCCGCTGAGATCCCCGACTTTGCCTCCTACCCTGAAGACCTTCGTCACTTCTTGCTGTCAGCAGCTTGCCGGAGCTTTCCACAGTGGCTGCCTGCGGGTGAAGACAGCCAAGTGGCCAGCTGCTCCAGTGCTGACGTCCCTTACTTACTGCTGGCTGTCAAGTCGGAGCCTGGACGTTTTGCACAACGCCAGGCTGTGAGGGAGACATGGGGCAGTGCAGCCCCTGGGATCAGGCTGCTCTTCTTGCTGGGGTCCCCGGTGGGCAAGGAGGGACCTGACCTACGTGCACTGGTGACCTGGGAGAGCCGTCGCTATGGTGACCTGCTGCTCTGGGACTTCTTTGATGTCCTCTATAACCAGACACTCAAAGACCTGCTGCTACTAACCTGGGTGGGTCACCACTGCCCTGATGTGAACTTTGTCCTGCAAGTTCAGGATGATGCCTTTGTGCACATCCCTGCCCTGCTGGGTCACCTGCAGTCCCTGCCACCTACTTGGGCACGAAGCCTCTATCTGGGTGAGATTTTTACCCAGGCCAAGCCTCTCCGGAAGCCTGGAGGGCCTTTCTATGTGCCTGGATCCTTCTTTGAGGGCGACTACCCAGCCTATGCAAGTGGTGGTGGCTATGTCATTGCGGGGCGCCTGGCTCCCTGGCTCCTGCAGGCAGCAGCCCGTGTCGCACCCTTTCCTTTTGATGATGTCTACACTGGTCTCTGCTTCCGTGCTCTGGGCCTGGTGCCCCGGGGCCACTCAGGCTTCCAAACAGCCTGGCCAACATACCGTATCATGGATGCCTGCACTCTTCGAGGCCTGCTGCTTGTGCGACCCTTCAGCCCCCAGGACACTATCCGGCTCTGGAAGCAACTTCGGAGCCCAAAGCTCAAGTGCGACCCTCATTGGTAGTGGGGTGGGGGCAGGCTGGACCCTGACATCTGCCTGCCCAGCCCCTCTGTTCAGGCCTGGATGGGGGGCTGAGGTCCTAGAAAAGGACTGCAAGGGCACCTCCTGGGCCCTTTCTGGGGAAGGACAGGGCAGACAGGACAAAACAGCAGACTGTTTTAAGTCTTTCTGTTTTTGAAAAATATGCACTTCCCACTGTGAGGCCTAGAGTTGTTTTTGTGTCTGTGGGGCTCTGGAGTGGTACTGAGGAGGGCTCAGCTGTGCCCTGACCTCCACACAAGGCACTCTCCCTCCTGGGCAGGGCAGCACCATCCCGCAGAGGAGCGGGGGACCATTTGCTAAAGCAGCAAACATTTCCAGGGGAAGAAGTAGCATAAGGGTTTGGGCCTTACTTATCTAAAGTGGAGATACTGGGGTCCCAAATCAATCATGCTGGACTCTACCCCAAACTCCAGGAAACAGACCAGAGGAGGTAAACAGCCAAATGCAGAGCCACAGTTTATTCACTCTGCTGACTGCCCATCCGGCCAGCAGAGGGGCTTCTGGTCCAAGGGGCCCCTGCCAGCCCTTGGGAGAAGGCACTGTAACAGCAGACGAAGGGGGCTGACTGAGCCTCGGCCACACTGACAATGCTGGCCCCCAAGTTTAGCAGCCTGGAGTACCAAGGTGGAGAGCAAGAGCCTCTCCACTATAGCTTGGGTGGCTGCTGCTATTTTAGGGGAGCTGGCTAGAGAGCTTCCTGACAGCCTTCCCACCTCCACTCAGAGCAGAGCTGCCCCTCAGGATAGCCAGGCCTCACTTGTCATAGTGGTCCAGGGGATAGTGCTCCCCATAGGTCTGCAGGTGCCGGGCCAGAGACTCCTGCTGCTTGCGGAGCTGGGCAGGCATCTCCTGGTACACATCAGAGAAGAGCAGGTTGGGGTTGGGCTTCAGCTTCCGCTCAGCCTGCTCGAAGGCCTCTATCACCTGGGAGAATGAGAGGGCAGAAGGCAGCAGGCTGCACTCCCGCCCTGTCGGCCCTCCCTGTGGAACCTCAGCCAGGGGTTAACCATGAAGGCTGTGTTCCCATCTGGACAACAGCAGTGACAGCAGTATCCTGAATAGCAGCAGCTCCATCCCTGGCGGGGACCAGGTGCTACCCTGAGTGCGTGGACTCTTTCCTTTATGCCTCACAAGCCCTGGGTTGCAGGCAACCCTTTGAGATGAGAACCAAGGGCATAGGAAGGGTCTTGCCTTCAAGGAAGCAGCTGGACAGAGCTGGGACCAGGACGAGTACTTGCTGCCTCTGGGCAGGACACTCTCACCACACAAGGAACTAAGTCCCTTGCCCTCAAACCACCTTATCAGATGTGCCCCGAGAGGTGAGAAAGTGTGCAGACAGTTTGCTCAGGATGCAGGGCAAGGATGCAGCTGAGATGAACTGGGCAGCCTGGCTTCACAAGCTGCACCTGGGGACAGGGCTAGGTTACCTGAGCCTCCAGTCTGACAACTCCTGAGCCAGTGCCCCCATCCTCCCAGGGTTCTCCTTGTACAGTAGCCCCTCCAGCGTATGCCCTACCTTCTTGCGCGACTGCTTCCGCCAGGCCTTCTCCTGCTCCTCATCCCACCAGCCGCGGCTCACCAGGTAGTGCCTCAGCCGTGAGATGGGGTGGTCCTGCTTGTCCCAATAATTCACCTCGTCCACTGAGCGGTACGCTGAGCTGTCGTCACTGGTGCTGTGGTGCCCAATCCTGCACGAGGGGGCCTGGGTGAGCGTGGGTACCGTGAGGTCATAGTCAGGTTGGAGGGAGGAGTGCCAGGGAGCAAAACAAACAGAGCAAAGACAAGGAAGGGGATACTGTACAGGGTAATGAGGCCATGTTTTGGGGATGGTGACATGAGAGATGAAAAGTGGCTATCAGCTGAGGACAGTGGTGGGGAGAAGCAGGCACCTGTACGTCATGGCTTCAATGAGGAAGGGCTGGTTCTCTGCCACAGCCCGGCGCCGGGCCTCCTTGGTGGCGTTGTACACTGCGAACACGTCATTGCCATCCACACGGATGGACATGATGCCATACCCAGGGCCTCGGGCTGCAATGCCATCCCCACGGTACTGCTCGTAGGTGGGCGTGGAGATGGCATAGCCATTGTTCCGGCAGAAGAAGATGATGGGGCACTCAAGGGTGGCAGCAAAGTTGAAGCCGGCGTGGGCATCCCCCTCGCTGGCTGCCCCCTCACCGAAATAGCAGATGACGGTCCTATTGGCATTGGCTCGCTTGGCCGCGTAGGCTGCCCCTACCGCTGCAGGGAGAGGAGAAGGTGGTGAGCACAAGCAGAGCACACACATTCGCTGCCCCACAGCCGGGGCTTGGGCTCAGGCTGGCTGTCCCCAGGCACCAAGGGGAAGGCCCCCTAGTCTCCCCAGCCCAGCCTTCTCCCTGCTCAACCCAGAGCAGATGCCTGGGCCCATCACACACACGCACGCACGCATGCACACACGCATGCACATATGCACACACACCTCCAGGTGCCCACCTCACTCCCTCCTCACTCCCCTTGGCCTGTACGTTAATGTTACTTTCCCTGATGTTTTTCTGAGGCGCCCCTGTTCCCTGGGGATGCAGCAGCTCTCACACAGTCTGGATGCTGCCTCTTCACCCTACTTCCTGTCACCTCCACCCCAACATTAGCAGCAGCGTTTCAAAGCTGTGTCTCTTTGGTTCACTGATCCTACAGTAGCACCTGTCACAAAGCAGGGGCTCTTTACATTCGCCAAATGAGGGACTCAGTGTACCCAAAAATGGAAGGTTAGGCCAGGGGCAGCCGTTGGAAACCCTTCTCACCTTAGCTTGAGGCCACCTCCTGAGAGAACACTTCCCACCCTGCTCCCAGGAAGCTGCCACTGCCCTCTGTTCCCCAGGTCATTAAGCTGGAGTGCCACAGCTGTGAGGCCTGGGGAAGCACCTAGCTGCCCTGGCTAGTCCCCTGACCAGGCTGCAGACCCCACAGGCAGCAAGGAGTCCAATTTCTTGGTCCCTGCCATATGCAGGGAACTAGGGGTGGGCTCTGGGAATCTGCTTGGCTCTAAGAGCTAAGGCTGACAAGAGAACTTGGGCTCTGGGTTCCCAATATCCATGACTCAAGTTCCTGCCTGAGTGCTATAAGACCTTCAGGCAGCCCCTCCCCTCTGCCTTCAATTCCCTCTTTATAACAGAACAACAGCAGGCAATAAACTTTATTCCTATGGCCATAGACAAGTGTTCTAGTACATAAGAAAACAAAGCACGAGCACCATGCTGGATCCTGGGGCACACTCAGGACATGCCAGCCCTGTGTGTGAGCAGGCAGGGCAGTGGGTAAGAGTCCCGGAAATGGGGTGTTGCCCATCTGGCTCAAGGAAGCTGAACAGGGTGGGGACAACACCAGGGCACTCCTCTGAAGGATTCTAAACAAGAACTATTGTGTGAGTCCAGAGCATAGGCCAGGTTCTGGGTGGTGCCCACTCAAGAAAGCTGGACCCTACACAGGGACGTGACATGGGTCACTGTGCATGAGGCTCAGGGCATGCATCCTTACCCTGAGGGATTTGTGTGGCCAGCGGAGAGGAGATAGTGACAAAGTGGCGCTCTTTGCAGCCATAGTGGACAGGCATCTGGCGGCCCTTGCCTGGGTCACTGATGTTGCCATAGCACTGGGCCATGAACAGCTCCAGAGGGTAGTCCCGGTACATCAGCACTCCTGGAGGGGACAAGACAGTGTGGGCCTAGAGGTGCTGCATGAGGGACACGGGTCAGCCTAGCTCTGGGAGTAACCCAGCACGAGCCCCCTATTGCCCAGGGTTTCCGACTCCCCATCTGTGCAGAAAGAAGCAGACAGGAACAGGGGAGACAAACGGGTGCTCATGGGAATCTCAGTGGCACCACAGGTATGAACTGGAAGACCACCTGGAAAGCACAGGCCTGGCTCAAAAGCGAAGCCAAGGGTCAGCTCAGGCAATCTAGGTTTCCAAAAGTGGCAGAAGTTCAGTGTGGTGCTGGGGATGGGCTCCAGGGCGTCGGGCATATTGAACAGGCTCTCTCAACCACCGAGCTAGACCACAGCTGTAGACTGCTCCCTTTCCCTTCCCTGTTTTCTTTTTTCTCTCTTTCTTAATAAGAAAAATAGATTTTTTTAAAAAGCATTTTTGCTAGGTGTGGGGGCACACACCTATAACCCCAACTTTTAGGAGGCTGCGGCAGAAGGAACACCACCACGAGTTTGAAACCAGCCTGGATGACAAAGTGATTTCAAGGCCTGCCTGAACTACATAGAGACCCTGTCTCAAAAAAAAAGTATTTTCAACTAATTCAGTAACTTTAAATAAATCCTGCTGCCCAAGGAAATATTCTCCTGGCTTACAGCAATAAAACTCTTTTTTCAAACAAAAGCCCCAGTGAATGCCAGCTCATTATCAAAAGGAACCACCCAGTGGAAGACCTGTTTGCCAAGCTAGACGGGAGGATGGGCCTGAAGTTGTCCTAGGACCAACTAGGACCCTGTGCCCCACCTGAGAAGGGGGGCAACTTCACACCCACACCACTGGACAGCCCTGGGGATCAGCCATAGCCCATGGCCTCCTCTGAGGGCAAGAGCTCACATAGAGCTGTTCCTAAATGCTTTCATTCCTGAAGAGCTCTTCCTTCAGATGAAAATTTAATGGGGTCAAACACATAACATGAGGCACATGCTTCCCAAATGACAACTGCAAACATGAAGACAGTGCTGATCTGCGGTTCTTACAGTAACTCTGTGACCCTTCATAATGCTCCTATTTGGCCAGGCGGGAGCCTCCTTCCAGCTATAGAAGAGCAAACCCAGACCACAGTTCTCTCATAACCAGCTCCACAGAGCCACTAAGTGGCAGGGGAGGGAGCTGACCAAATGCAACACATATAGTGCACATCTGCGCCTGGGAAAGCCAAGAAGGGACATATTCCTGCTAATCCTTAAGGGCAGTCCTCAAACACTGACAGAGGAACTGCTCAGAGCAGCTCAGACAACCAGCTTTGAAATGATGCCCTTCTGACATTTTAGTCAGGATCAAGCACACCTTCAATATTCACCTTCAGCACATCATTAGCTACGCTCTGCCACACGCCTCTAAACAGACATAATACAGATTCACACATTAACGTGACCACATACATGAAAAACACTAGAAGAGGAGATGCTCAGGTAGGAGG